GACCCCCCCTCCCCCGCCCCCCGAGTGCACAAATTTTTGTGCACCGGGCCTCTAGTATATATATAAAAGCCTAATATGCAAATTTCCCTGTGGGAGTTCGACCGGAAGACCGATTGCTCACTATGATGTGCTCTGACCACCAGGGGGCGGTGGGTAACGAAGGAAGGCCCTGATGGCCAGCCAGGCAGAGACCCTACCCATGCACGAATTTCATGCACCAGGCTTCTAGTATAATGATAAAAAAACCCAGATGCTTGTATGTAATGATAAACTCAACATTTTTAAAAAAAATTTTCATGTTTAACATTTAAAATATTCAAATAACTTTAACCATGAGCAAATGAAAAATCAGTTAAATTGGATACTTGCATATTTCTTGTAGTATAAACATGATATATAATCAAAAGTACTAGAGCACTTCATTTTTCTGATCCCCCTTTCTTCAGGATTCTCACTCATCAGTGGCCTTCATCAAGGCCTGTTTCCTGAATTTTGTTAGTTGATCAAAGTTAATGTAGCCTTAATTATGCGAATCAAAATAAATGTAACACTCAAATACTGTTATATTAGTAAGTGTACAAATTGTCTAATTGACTTTATAGTGTGTCTTTAAATATATATATATATATATTGATTGATTGATTTCAGAGAGGAAGGGAGAGAAAGAGAGAGATAGAAACATCATTGATGAGAGCGAATCATTGATCGGCTGCCTCCTGCACGCCCCCTACTGGGGATCGAGCCCGAAATCTGGGCATGTGCCCTTGACCAGAATCGAACCTGAAACCATTCAGTCCACAGGCCAACGCTCTATCCACTGAGCCAAACCGGCGAGGGCTATGGTGTGTTTTAAGTATTTTAACACAATAAGCGCTCAGCCTTTGTCTTCCGGATGGAAAGTATAGTATCAGTCACCGGTGACTGACTGGGCGCTTAATGTGTTAAATAAAAATAAAGCTTAACTGTCTCATTTCCCCCTTATTTTTCTAAATTCCCAGCTCCCATGTACTGTCTTATTCCGCAGGCTCTAATCCAGTGTGAGCAGCTGAGGAGTGAGCTGGAGAGGCAGGCGGAGCGACTAGGGAAGGAACTGGCTGCTCAGCAGGAGAAGAGGACCGCCGACAAAGAGCTGATGAGGAGCGAGCTGACAAAGGAGCGTGAGGACATGGGATCCAAGGTACTCCAGCATCGGCTCCTTGTCCACATGGCAGGAGTGTTTGCGGTGGAGCCACTGATGGCTTGTAGGCTGCAACTCTTTTCTTTTTTAATACATTTTTATGGATTTCAGAGAGGAGGGGAGAGAGAGAGAGAGAAAAAAACATCAATGATGAGAGAGGATCATGGATCGGCTGCCTCCTGCACACCCCACACTGGGGATCGAGCCCACAACCCGGGCATGTGCCCTGACTGGGAATCGAACCGTGACCTCCTGCTTCATAGGTTGACGCTCAACCACCGAGCCATGTCCGCCCGGCTGTAGGCTGCAACTCTTGAATGAACTTTAAATTTTAAAATCTTTTAGAGTCAAATTTCTTGTAACTCAGAGTTCGTAAACATTTTCTACTTTCCATGTGTTTCTCAACGTTATATTCTCTGACTTTTGCAAATAGAATAATCCATCTGATTCCAGTAATCAATTTGAAGACCCGGGTGGCTGGAGCATAGGAAGTGAGGGACAGAGTGTGGGGGTTGAGTTGGGAGAAGTGTGGAGGGGCCAAATCATGAAGGCCCTTAACATCCACATGGAGAACTTTAAATTTCACCCAAAAAGTGATGGGAGGCCATTGAGTGGCTTTCGGTGAGGCAGTGTCATGAGGCCTCTTGCACAAAACACTGAAATTACGTGGCTATGCTCCCTGCATGCCTTCTTGTGCAGTTGTTAGTGAATAGTTTTTAGATCTTATTCCCCTTAAAAGGTTTTCCTCTTTCTCTGCTTTCTCTACGTCGATATTCCTGATTTGAGAGAAGGATGAGGTGTGTCTTTCAGTCACTCTGAGTTTAAAGCACTTTTGAGGCAATGAGGGTGATACATGCAGAAAGAAGCTGGAGGCAGGGTCTAGAGCTCAGCAGAGAGCTGCAGATCCAGGTGGTTTTAGCTCTAGTGGCTTCATCCCGGGCATATGGTGTTGAGTTCTAGATCTTCCGCTCTCCACGGAGCTCCCAAACCAGCCTCCTCCCCATCTCTTCTCGCCTAGCGGAGCCACCATTCATCCAGTCGCCAGCTCAGAAATCATCCCTGTCTCCTCTCTCTCCCCCCCCCGACCCTCCATGTCATCATGTCACCGGGCGCCTAGGAATTTTATTACTAGGGGCCTGTGCACAAATTCGTGCACGGGTAGGGTCTGGCTGGCCTTCCCCGATAGGAAGGGCCTCGGGCGGTTGGCGGCCCCGCCCCCTGGTCGAACTCCCAGTTGAGGGGACGATTTGCATATTAGCCTTTTATTATGTAGGATTATTTTAAAAATATATTTTTTATTGATTTCAGAGAGGAAGGGAGAGGGAGAGAGAGAGAGAAACATCAATGATCGATCGGCTGCCTCCTGCACACCTCCTCCTGGGGATCGAGCCCGCAACCTGGGCATGTGCCCTGACCTGGAATTGAACCGTGACCTCCTGGTTCATAGGGTCAACACTCAACCACTGAGCCAGGCCGGTCAGGCCCCTAGGAATTTTAGATTGTCTGTCTCTCCAACCCACTAGGATCCATCGCTCACCCTCTGGTGATTCCTACAGCCCGAGTGCTCCCCTTGCTTCCAGTCTCACCTCTTCCCGACTGCTCTCCACACCACAGCCAGGACAGTTTTTCCAAAATAAACATCTCAGTATGGCAGTCTCTTGCCTCTTGCTTTACCATTCTTTATGTCTCCCTGCAAGCCCTTGGCTAAAATTCAGGATCCTCAAGCGCAGCATCAAGTTCTCCATTTTCCTTCCCCTCCTTGGCTCTTCAGTCTCATCTCCCTTGGCCTTTCTTTCTTGCATTGCATGCTCCTTTAAAAATATATATATATTTTTTATTGATTTCAGAGAGGAAGGGAGAGGGAGAAAGAGATGGCAATATGAGTGATGAAAGAGAATCATTGATTGGCTTTCTTCTGCATGCCCCACACTAGGGATGGAGCCCACAACTCGGGCATGTTCACTTGACCGAATCGAACCCGGGACCCGTTAGCCCGCAGGCCGACGCTCTATCCACTGAGCCAAACCGGCTAGGGCCACGCTATCTTTTTATTTCAGGATCTTGCTTGTGCTTTGCCCCCTGCCTGGAGGAGTCTTCCTCTGCCCACTCCAATGGCTCCTTCAAAGTCCTTCTTGGTGCCACCTCCTCTCACAGCCTCCCGAGGATGAATTAGGAGCCTCTCCCAGAGGCTCCCAAACTCAACTTATTGCAAGTTCCTGTTGAATTGTCTCCCCTGACTTACTATGAGTCCCCTGATGGTATGGCCTCTTAACACCCTCATAGCTTGGGACATTCCGCTCACATAAAATGTGCTCCATATATTTTTGTTGAATGAACGAATATAATACAAGAGCTCCATACCATTGGAAAGGTATGAATAAAATGCTGAGAATTCAGAGCATCAGAATCCCTGTCTGCAAGAGATCATGGAAGGCTTCTCAGAGAAGGTGGCATCTCAACTGAGCTTCACAGACTAGGGGGGGTTTAGTAATGCAGAGGATGGGGAGGAATTCTGGGCATACCGACATGACCAAGGCCTGGAGGGAGGTAAACCGTGAGCTGAGAGAAAATGGTATCGATTGCAAAGACCAGCAACTGTTCACACGTAGGAGATTTTTGTTTTCTGGTTGTTTAGTGGAAAGTTTTGCCTCACTGGGTAGTTCACTGTGTAAAAATATCTTGACGAGAGTCCCTGCTAAGAAAGGACAAGGGAGGGCTGCAATGCACCAGGCACTATTCCAGGTGCTTCCACAGGTAACAGAGCCTCTTCCTCATGCTGACAATTCTTTCATGAATAACGGTGACAACAGAGACGCAATGTATTTCTGAGGCTGAGTCACGTGTCTTGCCCTCAGTGAGTCTTGGTTGGCATTTGATCTGTAGGCCCTGCCCTAAGTACAGGTGCAGGAGTAAAGGCTGCAAGTGGTCCCAGCGCTGGGGTGGGTGCTGTCACCAGCAAATGGCAGAAAGTGGCGTTGGAGTAAAAGTCTTAGGGTTGAATCTAAATTGACCTGACTGTGACCGTGAAGAATTGAACCCCTCTAAATTTCAAGGGTAAATAATGGAGCTGATCTACTCAATGAATTGCTTGGATTCGGTAAGATAATGTTTTGAGAGAACCTAATACAATACCTGACTTCGAGTCGACATTTCATACATTTTAGCTTGTGGCTTATTAGATAGATTTCCTGGGTCTTCATGTGAGTAAAAGCACAGATTTGAATAGAAAGCCTAGCTCTACTTTTTAGTTATTAGCTTGAATGAACTTGGGCAAATTACCTAATTTACTGAATCTCACTTTTTCAGTTGAAAATTAATCCAATATAATTCTTCCTCCCGGGGATTAAGAAGGAATGTATATCGTACTGCCTCACACAGGCAGTTCATCGGAGAGGGAGATGGACCGTTAATCACGATGTTGTAAATGTCCTGTAGTTACTGCCGGACCTGGCTTCCCTGCCTTCCAGCAGCAAGGCACGCTTGCTTGCACTTTTAGATTTCCTTCCTTCCTTTCTTTTTATTTGTCTTCTCTCTCCTTTATTTTAATGTGACAGTTTCATGTGTGTGGGCAGCTCTAGGTGCGCAGATGCCTTCTGCCCGGACAGATTTTGAATCATTCTCCCGCGCAAGGCCCTTGCTGTGTGTTTGTTGTCCCAAGTGATGGTCTTTGGTTGCACCGAGCCCCTCGGGCTTGTGCGTCCAATCGGTCATTCGTCATCTGTGTACTGAGCTCCCATTGTTCGTGCATTTCCTTACCTGGTTCCCTGGATAGTAGCCCTTTGCTAGAATCCTTCATTCCTGTGCCTCTTGTGTAGGGAGCACCGCTTCGTCCCGTGCTCAGCACACCATGGGCTGAGTCAGTGTAGATTTTTCCGGGCTCTCGCAACCTGGGTGTCCTTGTCTCTGGCTCGCCCCTGTCAGAGTTGAAAGGACTTACCTGATCCGCCGCCCTGGGCACCGGCAGTGTCGCAGCTGTCCCTGTTCCTGCTGGCGCCGAGACAGATGTGGATGGAGAAGCTCCCGCAGAGCCATGCTGGCTTCCAGATGGTGGGCGTGGGGAGAAGAAGGTGTGACTCGGAGGGGAGGCTCGGGGGTGGGTGACAGGAGGGAGCAGACAGGTAACGGGCAGAGGAGAGAAGTGGGGGCGGCAGAGGGAGGGGTCAGATGGAGGGAGTGTGATATGCCACACGCCTTGTCATGCAAACAGACTCAGTATTTACAACGAGCGCTTCTCCTAACATGTCTAACAGTCACTCCAGAAACCACACAGTGATCATATGTTCACCGTACATATCTCCACAGAAGTCACATGTGATTTTTAGTAGCTGGTCATTAAAGTTTGGTGTATGGTTGCTGTATGGTTCCAGAGAAGCTATCATGACACACTGAGAATATGGATATTCATGAACTTGAATTTTTATATTAAGGAACTTAAATTAATATTTTTGATTTGTTGCATTGAGCTTCTTCTGACCTTTAGGTTTGAATTGGAATGTGCGTAGGATGGTTTGTAGCGTGGCGTTAGTAAAGATAATTTTATGTACAAATCAGATTTGTAGCCAATCTTTTGATGATACGAAGGACATATAAACAGCCGTAAGTCAAATAGACGACTGTCCACAATCCCCGGGAAAGTTAATGCGACTACTGTCTCGATGAGAAAATAGCCACCGGACTCATTATTTTCATATGTGGCAACTGGAGTTATGTATTTCAAAGGCAACCTTGATTTTATCACACAATTTTAGTCACTGACTTTAATTGTAAAACTGAATTTACATCCACATCATTGTGAAATGGTAGAATTCAAATGCTATTATTTCAAATTTGCTCTCAGTCTGTGTTTTAACAGTTTAGAAACTGATGGATAGCCCTCTATGTTTTGCTCTGGGTGAGGCAGCATTGCTTCTTCATGTTAAAACTGCTAGTCCGGCTGGCGTTGCTCAGTTGGTTACACATCGGCCCAGGCATTGAAAGGTTGCTGGTTCAATTCCTGGTCAGGGCACAAAACTGGGGTGTCGGGTTTGATCCCCAGTTGGGCACATATGGAAGGCAACCAATTGATATTTCTTTCTCTCTCTCTCTCTCTCTCTCTCTCTCGCCTCCCCCTCTCCCTTCCTCTCTCTAAAAATAAAAATAAAGCAATAAAATAAAACTGCTAATACAAATAAGAAATTAAGAGCCTAGAAAATGTTACTTACTGGGGAAGGGTACAATGTAATTGCAAACAATAAAACTATGAAGGTTAAATCTAAGATCCGGAAAGCTGTTCTAACACCGAGAAGAGAAACCAAGAACCTGGTACCCATGGAGTCCCGCAGAAAAGCCATTTATTCTAATTATTTGTGCATTTAGCAAACATTTGGTGCCTCTCGAGGAGCGTGCCCTTGAGGCTCCTAGAAGTTCTGTGAGGAAGCAGACACTGAAAACAGCGTGAGAAGTGCTGTGCAGGGGACGCGGAGGCTGGGTGTCACAGAGGTGGACAGAGGTGGTTGTCGGAGCACCTGCCCGAGTGACAGTGGAAATACTCCAGCACCAGGACCGCATGGACAGCAGCCAATGACAATGGGCGGCGGCTGCAAACAGCAGGCAGGGCCACCCAGTGCAGGTTCCCTGAAGAGCCACCCTGAGTATATGAAGAAGCTTCCGTTTGAGCTGGGAGCTGGGGGCCAGAGGAGCCTCCTGGAGGAGAGGAGATGTGGCTGAGGGGACTCCCACGGGAGGGGTGGGCCAGGAGGTCATGGGAAGGCTGGGGGACCTCGGAGAGCCTCCTCTCCGGTGGCGTTGGGGGAGGGACTGCATTTCATAGGCCACCAGGAGCTCTCTCTGAAGTGCCTGCCCCTCCAGCTCTCCCAGTCATCAGCCCTCTCTGCCCTGTGTGTGGGAGAAGGGTTCAAGAGCTCTCTGATTCCCTGCCACCTCCTCTGAAATGCAGTCATGTCCATCCCTCCCATAGCTTAGGTGTCTGCTGTCAGTCACCACAGAGTTTCAACCAACACTTTGATTTGATCATCGTGTTACATGTTTTCCAAAATGATGATAGAGACCAGGGAGGTACATACTTAAGTCATGAGGGAGAGATGAGTTGAAGAGGCAAAGAAATGGACATGCCCAATCCACAGAGAAAGGACTTTGAGAGAGCTCAGTGGCTGAGACCTTATGGACTCAATGTATTTTTAATATTTAGTTGTCAAATGACGTTATCACTTAGGACTTTGACTTCCTCTTTCAGATGTTGGCTCTGTCTCAGAACATTGCTCACCTGGAGGCCCAGGTGGAAAAGGCTACAAGGGAGAAGGTTTCAGCTGTGAACCAACTAGAAGAAACTCAAAACCAGCTTGCTTCCCGGGAAATGGAAGCCACAAAGGTACAAAGACACATTTTAGCTTAATAATTATTAAATATTTTCCTTGAAACTTTTTGTCCTAATGTACAAAGCTCAGAAAGAAGTTTGGAGCAGAAAAGTTTATTTCAATATAATAAAAGTCCACTTAATTGTCACTCAGCAAACATGTACAGTACTTCCTATTGGCTGGTTGCTGCAAACACTGTACAAAGATGCATTAGACACATATAATATTCTCAAAGAGCTTAAGAGGTCAGTGGCTAGACAGACTTGTAAATGAGCAAGCTTTATTTAATATGGAATATTTGATAAAACTTGTTTTTTTTAAATTTGCTAATTAGGAGTAATTTTTGCCAGAGATAGCATAGGTTTGATCATCTGATCTTCATAATAACACCAAAAGACATATATTTACAACATGAGGCATGTGCTTAACATGAAATTTGCAGACTTGGTCTCTTTTTCAGACTTGGTCTCTAAAATCAAGGTTCTACTACTACAGCTAATTATTTTATTGGTCTTTAAATTTATACTTTAAAAGTCATATTTTTTGCTGTATGGGTATCACAAACTTGTGAACCTAGAACTAAAATGTTTCCTAACTGGCTAATGTAAGGTATGTATTTAAGAAACACTAGAAGTCCATGTAGATTTCAGTAATCAATTGCTTTAACACTAAGAAATTAAACAATGGCATGCATGATGTAATAAGTTAAATGAATTCTTTTTGACCATGACACTCACAAATTATTTTAAAATGGATACCCTTTTGATATTGAATTTTATTTCTCAACGTATTTTCCTAAATTTTGACCTATTGTATCCCATTGTTGCTTTATAATTTATTAATTAAAATGAACTTTCAAGTGAACTTTACATTAGGAAAGGGAGCCTAATTTTTCTTTTTCTTCCTTGACTTTAATCAAGCTAGCAAATGTAGACGTTTAAAAATATCATATTTACCCACATAATAGATGTGTTTGTGTGAAGAGAGGGGTAGAAGTAGGAGAACTGATGCAGAGGCATGAAAATGGTTAACCCAGATTTGTAAATGAAAGCTATGGCAGGAGTTTTCAGTTCATCGTAGGCAAAGAACTTTCTGTTGAAATATGTACAGTCAAGAATGAGCATAATTTGTCCTTATAATTGTCCAAAGGGACTCAGGCATCAGAGGAGTGCCTTGAGATTGCTTCCAACCTCAGGATAACATAATTCTGGTCCAATTTAGTTTGTCGATTTATTTTAGATAGAATTTAAATGTTATGGATAAACTTAGCAAATGCTAAACTGAAAGCAGTAAGGCAAGGGAACTTTAAAAAGAAAATGAAGGGATAAAATAATTTTCAATAAGACCCAAGGCTTAGACATTTGTTACATATAATAATTTTGTGTTGGTGTTGGGTTTTAAACACCGTGATTGTATAATTGTTGTATAATTATTATTTTCTGGTATTATCAAGTTGGATATTTTCATTTCATTTGTGTATGTAAATCAAATCGATTGAAACAGTGAAGAACTAAGAAAGAAAGTAAATTAGGGACCCTCTATTTTTTTCTGTCACTCTTAATTTTTAAACGTTATTTGGCTTTAAAAGTAATGCCTTTATGGAAATTACTAATTTTTTGAAATGGGAAAGATCAAGTCACACATTGAAAGCATTTGAATTTCAAATAGAATCTTTAGTAATTTTATTCTTTTTCTAGCTTATGAGGTCCACTGGGGGAAAGCTTATTGGCTTTTTTTCTGTCTTGTCACTATAACTTTGGAACAAGATTAGTTTATTTTTTAAAATATGTTTTATTTGAACATAGGAAATGCATACAGGTTTTCTAAGGTTCTAGTACCTCAATATGTATGGTACTAATTTCCAAAATTCTAATCGTCATTTTTGGAGAAATACCAAATTTGAAAAGGTTTCAGACAAGTATAACCATTGCAGGACACATGATTTTTAAAACTCGTCTTTGTCCATTAGGGGCTGACTGAACAGATTCGTGTATTCATCCATCTCTCTACAGGTTTTCAGTTCTCCCAGAGGCTTATCATTTCTTTACATAGATTTATCTGCTAATTGAATTTTCCAAATATGGTCATGTCTGTAGAGATGACAGATTGAAAACAAAACTGTAGGAAAGACACTTTTAAGATACTATGTGTGTTCATTATTTAATGATACATTAGAATTATTTCCCTTAAATGTACACTTTCCTTTTATGCTAAATCTACAGTTACAAATGCAGAATGTGCTTAGTTCCAGCCCATGACCTTTACCAGGCAATCTTTCTTAATTTAAATACTGTGTTGTGCATGATAAGATTGGCATTGTCTAAAAAGCTTACAGTTAATACGGGCTACTACACCTAACTATCAATAATATAGTCTAATAGCAGAGACAAAAATTTCTTTATAAATTTTCTAAGATAAAAGCCTACCTCTAAAGTCTTTAAAGGAAGGTTTTATAATACAGAGTGTCCATTTAATCATAACAATTTAAATGAATAATATCATAGCTTAATATTTTCATTAATAATTTTACCTACTTAAAATTGCGATGACAGTGCATTTTGGATGGTAATATGCAATTGAAACTATGATTTTACATAAGAAATCACGGACACATTACTTAAATTCCTTAGTGTGTATTTCTTTATCTATAGTTTGAAATTGTTATATTCAGCAATACCTGCTGTTGCCTCCACATCTTAACAGAATATTATATTGAATATTCTAATAGGAAAAGTGCCATTCTTAGAAAAGTTGTGGTGTTTTTTATTTACATGCCCTCTAGGGGGCACCAAAAGATCTAATTGCAGGCATTGGCTGGTAGATTCCAGCAGCTATTGATCTAGTTTTTATAATCTAACAGGTGTGTGGGGAAATGCGCTATCAATTGAATAAAATCAAAATGGAGAAGGATGAGGCCGAAAAGGAGCACAGAGAGTACAGAGCCAAAGCTAAAAGGGATCTTGACATGAAAGACCAGGTAAGCGATGGCACAAGTGAGCAGCAATGAGGACATTCATGCTCTATCTCAGCGGTTCTCAACCTGTGGGTCGCGACCCTTTGGGGGTCGAACGACCCTTTCACAGGGGTCGCCTAAGACCATCGGAAAACATATATATAATTACATATTGTTTTTGTGATTAATCACTATGCTTTCATTATGTTCAATTTGTAACGACATTGGGGGTCACCACAACATGAGGGACTGTGTTAAAGGGTCGCGGCATTAGGAAGGTTGAGAACCACTGGTCTATCTGAAGCTGATGTGGTTTTATTCCTGAGTCATTCATTTCTATTATATTGTTTCTAATAGAACGATTTAGTTCATACTATTAAAAGAATTTCAGTTTTAGTTGCCTAAAATTATCACCTTTCACACGAAGTAGTGAGGATACAACTGCCTGCATATAAATTTCCATTCTGACAGGTCATAAATATACATTTGGATATGTGGATCTATTACTTACAAAAGTTAAGAAAAATGTTCTAATGCGCAGTTTGAACCTAAAATATACGAACATAAAGTTCTCGAAAGATGCCAACTTGAATCCAATTTTAAGTGAAAAAGTTTAAAATTTGTAAGATGAGATGAGTTGATATGTAAATATGTCAATCAAATTGTTTGTTGGCAGAGTAAACCCAGTTTTAACTAAGATAACCGTGAATATGTTTGCTCAGGATGCCTAAAAACAGCGAAATTAGAAATGTTCAAAGAATTCTGCTTATTCAGTTTCAGTTTGCGCAGGTGTTTTTTATGTTATATTTTGTTGAGATCATATAGATACCCCAATTTTAATCGACAAAGTGGACAAAAAGTGGAGGGAGGCCGTTCTAACAGGCTGACTTGGGTTTTCTGTTTTTATGTTACAATACAGAACACTGGAGGCTTTAATTCTTTTCATTCAAAGAAAGCAGGGTGACAAATCCATTCAATTAAAATAAGACTGAGGTCTTAGTATCAATATTTTAAAGAAATTGCTGCAATGGAAAAGTAGGCAGCCCTAAGTGAATGAAAAACAAACAAACATGTTCCGGTTCAGAGCTTTTTGTCATATTCACCAGCATATTTTCCCTTTCAACCCGATCGAGTCTCTAGGACACAAACACAATTAGGCAACATATTGAAAATGAAAGTAATAATGACACTTAGGATAAAAGTTTGTCAAGTCAAAATGGCAATCCCTGGCACTAAACGAAAATCTAAACAAATAAAAGCAAATTCTGCTTTGGCCCCACTGTAGTCAAAGCGTTACAGAGTTCTCAGTGTTCAGAAGAATCTTCGTGATGAACGTGTACAAAGAACGGGGCTGTTTTATTCCACCCAGTTGGGGGCGTGCCTGGTAACGGAATTGACAGTCCTTTTTATGAGGGACCGAAGGTTAGAACTACCAGACCTACCACGGAGCTTCCCTTCGCTGATGTATTAGGACTTTTTAAAAAGTACCCTGTTTGCATACTCACTGGCACCATTCTATACCTTTTGTGTTATTCTATAGCATCTGCCAGCACAACGTGTTGGGCTAAGTGGAAAAATCTAGCAAAGAAGAGTTTCTGAGTTATTTAGAATTACATTATAATCTTCTGGAGAGAAAAAACACTGTAGGAACAATAACATTATGATATCACTTGTAAATGAAAAGCATGTGAATGAGTCTTTGCCGTATTAGTCTTTTGGCATTATTTCTCACGCAATGAACCGGCGATGGTGCGGAGGCTAAAGGTGCAGGATTTTAAAGGGAGCAGTTTTCATTTGTAAACAACTCCTGGTAGATATGAAACCCTAACAGTTTTACAATGATTTTGAGTGTTGTTTTATTTTTTTATGTTTAATTCTTTATTGTTTAAAGTACTGCCTACAGTATTACCTATGTCTCCTTTTCCCCCACTGACCTCTCCCCGGCCACCCACACCCCTCCTTGATTTTGAGTGTTTTAGATAGAGACGTGAATTTTTAGGAGATCAGAGAGTTGGGAATGAAACCTCTGGACCGTCACGTGGTGTGTGTGATGGCCCTGTGACCGTTGCCTACAGTATTACCTATGTCTCCTTTCCCCCCACTGACCTCTCCCCCGTCACCCCCACCTCTCCTTGATTTTGAGTGTTTTAGATAGAGACGTGCATTTTTAGGAGATCAGAGAGTTGGGAATGAAACCTCCGGACCGTCACGTGGTGTGTGTGATGGCCCTGTGACCGCTGCTCCTTGGACAGAGTGTGAGGACATCTTACAGGCAGTCCTTGTCCCTGTTCTGTGTGAACAGACAGTTTCAGAGAAGCGAGCGGCGGTGTCTCGTTCCAGGGTGACCTGGGGCAGCCGAGCGGCCATTGTTCTTCGGTCTTTCAGCCATGACATGACCTTCTGTCTGTGAGGCCCACACGCTCCTCGGCTTGGCCACCATCTGCCCTCGGGAGAGAAATTTACATTTAACTTTCAGCAGCTGGGCCTGCGGAGCGTCGATCTGAAATACCTCGAATGATAGGAAGTGTGTTTAACTTTGTAGGTGTTACACGTCGTGCCATTCAGGGTAACACGATGGCTCTCTCGGTGCACGGACAGGCTGTTCCTGGCAGTAGAGTCATCGTATTCACATCTCATAACACAGATTTGTGTTCATCTGACCACTTGGTGCATTTCTCAAGGAGGTGGGAAACTGAGATTGGAATGTGGTGAGAACAAGGGCTTTTTGATGTACACAAACCAGGGCCAACGGTCGGCCACCAAGTCATTCTCCCCATGACCCGAGCCCTGGCGGTGGCATAATCAGGGAGAAAGGTTAGGAGGGTAACAATGGCCGTGTCTTCCTCACACTCGCTCCTTTGTAAAATGGATATTGTGTCAGGAATCCATGGTGGATTCTCCTTTCCATCAACTCCTTTGTACTCCTCCGCTCAGAGAGCTCCTGTCAGCCTCACAGGATGCTGCTTGCACATAAAAAAATTAGAAAAAAAAATGACATTTGGTAAGGAAGACAATGAAAAATCTGCATTTTTATTTTTATTAGAAACTTTTTGTAGGCTATAAGCGTGCACACACACACAGACACACACACACCCTTAGGGGAATTTAAAAACACATATGGGGATGAAGAGAATATTATAATGAATTCCCTCATTTTCGCAGCATCGTCATTTTGCCAGTCCTTTTCCTCTATCTCCCTTCTTTTCTCTCCTTCCTCTGTCTTCATTCTCACCAGCCTTGTCTTCCCGTCTTCTCTGTCTTTCTCTTTCTCTTGTTGTCCTCTTCCTCCAGTTCTTCTTTTGGTGAAGTATTTAAGACAGATCTCCATCCTATTCACCCATCAGCACTTCTGTGTACATCCAAGAAATACTCGTTTTCATAATCACTCGGTCATTTTCACACCTAAGAATATTAACAGTAATTCTGTAATATTATCTAATGCCCAATCCATATTCAACTGTCTTTCATCAACTCAACAATATTGGTTTTACAGTTGGTTTATCCAAATCAGGGAAGTAGAGATGTTAGACTATTATAATATTACCTTCTTTAATAGGAAAGAAAAGGAAATATTACAAATATTCAACTTTCTTTGTCTATTGTTTCATTAAACTTCATGCACAATAATTCGATTGTGCTCTCTATTTATCAGGCAACATCATTTGAAAGAAATATGAATCAGGCCGGTGGGAAACTATTTTAGGGGACTGTCTGCCACGAAATAGCCCCTCCCCGTGTCCTGACGGGGATTTCGGAGCCTTACACTTGAGATGGAGGCAGCCTCAGGAAGCCCCCTACTCCCCGGCGTGGCAAGGTCGCTGACTCTGAACTGAGTGGAATTTCCTCACTCACTTTCCATCTTGGCAGATGAATCTCAGAAGATGATTCTTTGTAGCCCCTAAGCTTTGATCCAGGAGAAGAGTGAGGTTCTAGGTGCAAAAAGATCCAACCTTTTCTTTCTTCTGCGGTCTCCCTCTCACCTGACCTGCCATGGTGTTTCCTGTTTGCTCTTCAGGGTCGTGGTCCCTCCCGCCCAGGGATGCTCGGGAGGGTGAGGGGGGTGCAGGTCACACTCACTTCCCGTGACTGGGCCTGCACATGCGCCATGGCTTCTGGGTGCTCCCCGCCAGCAGCCGAGGACCTGCATAAACCCCCTGTGGGGGCAGAGGGAGCCATCCTTCCATCCCAAGGGGTCAGACGCACGACCCCTAGCGATTGCAACCTCCAATGAGGACACACTTGGTACCTGGGTCTCGCGGACCAGGTGCCGCCCACTGAGTCCCCGAGTGCCCTGTGGTGCAGCCACCGCAGGCAGGATGGTCACCTCCATGTCCTGCCCTGAGATGCCAGGCATGTACACACTCAACCCAGCCTTCCCGCCTCACCTCCAGGCTCCTGCCAAGGGAAGGGACAGGGGACAGCAGCAGAGCACACGCCCCTGGGGGAGGACAGCAGGTCACAGGGCGGGGCCCAGAGAGGAAGCTGAGGGCACAGGGTCTGAGAACTGCCCCGGGCTGGGGAGAGATGGTGAAGGAACCAGAGCGCACAGAGCCGGGTACATTGTTCGTGAGATTCTCCTAGAAACCCGATTCCATCGAAAGTGCTAAGACTCTCAGGATGTCGACCACAGAGCATTGAACTGCAAGCCCTGCTCTCACGCCCCAGAAACCACCGTGGCCATGGGCAGGCAGGCAGATTGGGTGCCTGATGCACATGTATGTACGCACTGCACATGCAGACACAGTTAGGCACCTGTAGCCCACGGGCCCTGCTGCCTGTTTGCACAGGTCAAGTTCTAAGAGAGCCCAGCCCCACCCACGTGTCAGCCTGCTGCCTACGGCAGAGTGGAGGGGTCGAGACAGAGACCACATCACCCACAAAGACGAGAATAGTTACTGTCTGACCCTTCACAGGATGTTTGTCAGCCCTGCCTGGAGGATGGAGCTACAGCTGTGAGCTCCCCTGGCCCTGTGAGAGCGTGGAGCTCAATGCAATGTTCAGGTCACGTAGCATAGACACGTGCG